CTGCTGGAATGCACACATGTACATTATTTCTGTGCTATGAGAGACTCTGTAACAAGCATACCCTCCCATGGAGGTTATTTCAGAGTTCGGTTTGGGGATCCGGGAAACTAAGGCACTAAAGAACCAATTCTTCCTCAAGAGGTATTTCATGGTCATTCATGGATAAGGTAGTCAGATATCCTACTCAATGAATTCAAGGGAATAGCAACATGCAGTTTTATTTGGTGGTGGGGGGGATAGTTCAATGAATTGATGCCAGTGATCTCTCAATCATCTTAAGTACTCTAGAGAAATTTTGATATTCCACAGACAGAAAATAATTTATTTCCTTTATTGTTTTCTTTTAAAAGCCAAAACTCCCAGGCATCCTAGCTTGGTTCTCTAGAACTGTGTTCCAGTGATTCCACAAATAATACTAAGCTGAATAATGGGCATTCTCTTTAGTACTTATAACGTAAAGCTAGTTTTATATTAATTTATAAGAAAACAAATAAAAATTTATACCCATTGTGAGACACTGTCTTCTCGCAGGTTCGATACATTGTTTAGTCATTTGACTGCTGTCCACAGCACAGTGGTCAGGCTGGGAGCCATTGCATGGGGAAGTGCACCTACAGGAAGATTATCTTAAGTGTGGATCTGGAGAAACTCACTGCATCGATAAGCACCCTCTGTTTCTTGAGGATCTTGCAAAATGATGGTGTATGAGAGATTAACAAAAAACCTGAAAAAGTGTAATCACAATACTTATGAAAATAAAAGTAAGGCTAAAAAGATCTGTGAGACAAAAGTCATCACATGGCATGCAGCTCCAGTGTGGCTAAGAGGAGCAGTTCATTTGGAAAGCTATGAGCAGCACAGAAGTGCAAAAGGAGCAGTCCATTCTCTGGAGTGGATGGGACACCAAAATCTGCCCAGCCTCGAGCTGCAGACCTCCCACTGTCTCCTCCCAACCTGTGAATTTACCCATATGAATTCAACTCATGTGAATGAAGCTCATCAGCTTCATTCCCCTCTACTCTCTGCTAGTATCTGTCTGTTCCCCCACACTGAGCTCACCTACCCCCAAACTGGGCTTAACTTTTCCCATTTCCCTCCCATCCCTATCATCTGAATCTCAATCTACCATCCAAATCTGACTTGCTCTTCTAGGACTAGCTCAAGCCCCTCTTCCTCCAAGAAGACATCACAGATCACTCCAGCCTCCATGGGCCTCGATTTCCTCTGTGCTTACAGGGCTAATGTGCCAGTCATTTCAGAAATGCACCCATACTGCCTGTGACTGGAGTTGTGCTTTTGCTTAGCTTTCAGTGTGTCTGACCAACCAGGTTTTTGTAAAAAGGACCTAATAGGCTTGGTGCCTGTAGCTCAGTGGCTAGGGCGCCAGCCACATACACCAAAAGTGGTGGGTTCAAGCCCAGGCTGGGCCTGCTAAACAACAATGACAACTACAACCAAAAAATAGCCAAGCGCTGTGGCGGGTGCCTGTAGTCCCAGCTACTTGGGAGGCTGAGACAAGAGAATCGCTTAAGCCCAAGAGTTGGAGGTTGCTGTGAGCTATGACGCCACAGCACTCTACTGAGGGTGACGTAGTTAGACTCTGTCTCAAAGAAAAAGGACCTAACAAAGGATTGTCTCCTACACCGCACCATTCAAAGCCAGTACTTCATAAATACCTCCTAATAGTGGATCTTAACTGCAATATAATAACAAAGTGTGAGGCCAAGGAAGTCAGTCTCTTGTGGGCTCAAGTTTTGTTGCTCTCTGTACCCCAACATAAAGTTAGCACATTAGTGAGTGAAGAAGAGGCTAGAACTATGAGCAACTGGGAAAAGCCTAAATCCACAAAGGGGAGAGAAGGAGATGGAAAGAAAAGGAGGCAGCACAAATGGTAAAAATCAGAGTTGGGCCAGCAAGGGAGCCAGCGCATATTTAATGGGGGAAAAGAGACAAAGACAAAGTGGAAGGTGAAAACAAAGGGAAGGGAGTCACGGTAAAGGACATCCAAAGTTGTCCTTCAAGGACAGAATGAGAGCAAGTAATTTTCCACCCACCTCTTTTGTATACTACGGAAGGGAGGCTTCTGCCAACGCGGTCTTGACACAACAACCATTTTACAGCAAAGAGATTAATGGGGCAAAAAGAAAAATCTTCATTCCTGCCGCATTTATGTTGCTAACTTTGATGAGACAGAAAAGGACAAAAACTCAGAGCATTTTGAGAATCTGCCTGGATTTTAAAAAATAGGGTATATACCCCTAAAAAACAAACAAAAAAAAAACAAAAAGGAAGTTCTTGGCTCTGATCATCAAATTGGAAATCAGATGAGGAGGCTTTCTCTTTTACAGATTTCCCTCTATAAGCAGCTCTAAGAATGGCAATGCCAGTTCAAATAATGACCAAGCTACTACTTTCTGGGTGCTGACTATTTGTCAGGGGCTGTGTTTATTCTTTACACCACCCTACAGGGCAGCCACAGGCTCTAATTTACAGAAAAGGAAGGAAGGCTCAGAAAGGTTAATTTCCCCTTCGTTAGAAATGAATAGAACTAAAATTCAATCCAAGACCATTTGCCTTTCTTTCCACTGCACAACACTATCCCCTAAATTTGACCACTAAGGGTTTAAAAGACTCCACATAGGAAGTACAACTCTTAATTCCAGGACCTCTGCTCTTCCCAAGAAGTACTTCATGAGAGCTGGAAGGCATGCAAGTGGCTGCAGGATTCCCGTTGTAAAGGCTTGGCCTAGCCTGGCACAGTCAACAAATTCCCCACATCAGAAGGCACCAGAGTGGGTCCTTGAGGGTCTAAGGTCTGAGGGGTGGCCCCACACCACACTTCAGCCTATAAGAAGCCTCTGAAGCAGAAGCAGAATGTGCCCAGGGTCTGCTGACATTGACAGAGGCTGCAGCCTTTAGGCCATTCTCTACCTCCTGTGATTAGAAGACATAAAATGTTTTAAAATTTTATCTTTTAATTTTATCTTAATTACCTATATCTTAATTTTAATTTAGGGGCCTGAATCTCCCCAAATTAAAAGCAAAGGGGATGTGGCAGAGTTGAGAGCCTTAAGCTGCTCTCACTCTCCTATAGCTCTCTTGCCTTATGTCCCTTCCCTGCCCCAGGTACTGTGACCTACTGAAAATGTTCCCTCAATTCCTCAATAATGGGAATTGAAGAGGTTTTCATATCATATTATCCAGGATTTTATACCTCTCCTACATTCCTATCTCATCCAGTCCTCCCTTAACATGGATTATAGAAAATAAGGGCTAGCCCAGGCTGTAGAGGCCACCAAAATTCTAACCCTTTACTCTGCAGACACAGAGGTCCAGAGGTCTAAAGCCACACATTTGATTGGCACAAGTTGGACCCAGGACCTTGGACCCTGATTTATAACTCAGCACACTTTCTATTTCCCCAGCTCCAAATAGGAAATCAAAAAAGGGGTAGGGTAATTTTTTTTTTTTTAATTTTGGGTTAGTATGTGGTACATACAGTTAGGTTACATTGTCTGAATTTGTAAGGTACAGTCGAGTGGTAGTTGAATCCTTCCCCTCAAAAAGCATCCCACATGCCCTTATGTTGTACCCATCATGTAGGAACTTATTGAACCCCCTCCCCTCTCCCAGCTTCTTGAATTTAACTGTGTTTCTCTCTCATGTGGGCCTGTAGTGTAATTTTTCATTTGTAGGCCTCAACTCAAAGTGTGGGCATTAAAAAGGAGATAATTTAGGGGAAAGCACAGCACCAGAGTGGCAGAGATGAGGTCCATCCCCAGGCTCTGACCAGCGACTGCCTCCCTCTGAAATGCTCTAGCCACAGGCACTTGAAGGTCATTAGAATGAGTGAGGGACTCAGTTAAAGAATTCAAGGTAAGCATCCAAATTATGCATACTCTGCTCTGTGGAACAACCTGCCTGCCCTTCCATGGTATGGGGAAACAGGATAAACAGGGCAAACAGTGGCCGTTGGCCCAGGTGTACCCTGCTCCCTCTAGAACCTTCCCTGACTACCTGGGTCCTCTCTCCATAGCCTTGCGACATAATGTCCCCTAAAAACCAGGTTGGGAGGACAGACTTCTGAAAGAGGAAGAAGCAAGTCTTAGCCCCTGGTTCATAAGCACTTAGAAAGGCCTGGAAGGACCATGGAACCTGGTTTTAGTGCTGATGGTTGACAGACTCCAATGTCCTTTTGGAATCAAGCTTTAGGTACCACTCAGGGACCCAACCTGGAAACATTCTCACTAGTGGAATGGCTTCAGCATGCCAGGAGAATACACTAGTGGCAAAAATCAGTTTTCTCCTAGACATTTTAATATTAATAGTATTTTTCTAAGTACAGAGGTGGGGAAAAGATGAAATAATACATTGGTATATTTATCTCCTGTATATTTTTTTGAGTAACACAATTTTTAATAATAGGCATGTCTTGCTCCATAATGATGCTAATGATGACACGTGTGGCCCATCAATTCCCCAGATATCTCAGCATCCACCCCAGCCAGAAAGTCTTCTAGGTGCTGCAGCAATGAATAGGATACAACCCATCTCTTCCTAGAACCCCCATCTAGTGGAGGACAGAGGAGATACTCTCATGTGAGACAGTGATAAGTCCTAGGAGCAAAATGGGAGTGGGGTTTGGGTTAGAGGATGGAAAATCACAGGGCTGGGGTCAGAAAAGGGCTCTCTAAGGAGGGGACATCTGAATAGAGGCCTCGTGGCATTGCTTAAAGGAGACGCAGAGGCCAGCATGACCACAGTGGGGTGAGCAGGTGTGCAGGTGTGGGGTGGTAGGAGAGGGGTCTGGAGAGCCAGGCAGGGGCCCGAGGGGCAGGGCTCCATAAGCCACCAGAAGGAGGCCTTGCGCCTCAGTGTGAGGGACGCCTTGGGAAGGCTCAAGCAGGAGCGCGAGGTGGCATCTAGTTTGTCCCCTGGGATGTCTCTTTTGTTTGCTGACAGCTCAGCCCCTGTCAAAGCTCCTGCCTTCCAGAACTCACCTTCCACTGTCAACTCCACTGTCACCTGGCGGGCACCACTACCATTGGTGGCTTCACAGGTATACTTGCCCCTGTCCTCCTCACGGACGGCATGAATCACAAGGCTGAAAGTCCCCCGGATACCATAATCCAGCAGGAAGCGGCCCCCATTGGTGACAGGTTGCCCATTTCTGTGCCATGTCACCTGGGGCTCTGGGTAACCTCGGACCTTCAAGAAAAGAGAAGAAAGGGTAAGAGCCTGTATTTCTTGAATTCTCACACTGTGCCAGGTTTTGTCCACGTGTCAACTCATTTAACCCTCATAACACCCCTTGAAGCAGATAGCACTTTCATCCCCATTTTACAGTTTCGGTAATTTCCCAAGGTCTCAAAGGTATAAACAGGCAGAATCAGGCATCCTGGCTCCAGAGCCCATGACTCTTGTGTATTAGCATCATCAAGGGAGCTTTAAAAATGCCAGTGCCCAGGCCCCACCTTATACCAGTTAAATCAGAACCCCAGGGTGCAGTCTGCACATGGGGACTCTGACGTGGGCTTTACCCTAACATGTGAACAAGTCACTTGGGGATCTTGTTAAAATGCACATTCTGTTTCCATAGTCTGGGCTGGGCCTGACATTCCACAGCTGGGACAAGCTCACAGACGCTGCTGGTCCCTGAAACTGGCTATGAGTTGCGAGGTTCTGGCCCTGTGCTGCCCAATAGTAGCCACTGGTCACACATACCGATGGCGCTCTTGTAATGCACCTAGTGAGACTGAGTTTCCTTAGAAATGTACATTACACACTGGGTTTCAAAGATAGTGCCAAAAATGTGTACTATCTCAATAATTTAAAAATATTGATTACATATTAAAGGGTAATATTTTTGATATGCTGAGTTAAAGATACTAAGTTCACTTGTTTCTTTCTACTTTTTAAAAATGCAGCTACTAGCAAAATTACCACTTATACTCAGTCTCATCCCTTGTCCTATGGGCACCACTGCTCTAGACCACTGGCTTTCCACCCTTGGCCTTTTGCTCACAATAGTTAGTGGGTGACATCTGTTGAGGGCTAAGTGTTCTGCACTTTAAAATACTTGACTCAACTAAGATGCATAGCAACTGTAGAGAAGACAGCTCCCAAAAGAGGGGAAAATGCAGAGATAAAACTCAACAGGCCCTTCAGAATGGACTCTTCTTGAGAGAAGCAGGGCTCAGAGCAGCCCACCAGTGTGTAGCCAAGGACACAGAATTGCAGGATCTTAGCACTGGACAGTGCATGGAAGACATCGTAGAAAACTCCTGAGAATATTAGTGTTACAAAATGGTGGTAGTGATAGCTTTACCCATATATCTACTCCAAGGCAAGAGAGAATGGATTTGGATAAAGCAAAACCAAAATTCACTGGATGACCTTGAAATTGCCATTTACAACGAAAGCCCTCAATGACCTGCAGCAATAATCCTCCTCACACCCCTGCAAGGCCATGGACAATGCTGTATAGGTACTCGGGGAGCCCTGGCACACATGCCCGGACATCCAAACACAGGCACTGCCCTGAGCCCTCGAAGGGAGCAAAGTCTGTGTTGAAAGCACCAGTGTTGTCTTTGGACTGAGCTCAGTGTCCTTCCCAGGTGTCCAGCCCCCAACCCACTCTGGGCCACTTTGCCTCTCTCTAACAATAGCTGATTCTCAGTGATCAGGATGTAGATTTCTTCCAAAGGAAGGAAGCCTTAAATGACAGTGGAAATCCCCAAAGTGAACAATCCCTCTTTGGTTACTCCATATTGTCACTCCTTAAGTGTCAGTCTGTGAATCTGATGAGTCTGTCCTTCCAGTCAGGCCTCCAAGGAAAAAGAAATAAAAACAAAACAAAACAAAACTCCAAATCAGTATCACCATCTCTTTTAAATTTCTGGAAACAAACAAAATATACCTTTCCTCTCAAAATCTAAACTATACTCATGACAGAGGCTGAATACTTGTGGGGAAACACTGAGATCCTGAAGTTGATTGTCCAATAGACATGTCAACAATGCCAGAAGCCATTCGAGTCTCACTAAACAAGCGCATCAGACCCTAGGCTGACTATGCTGAAGGCAGCCATGTCCCTCTGGATGTGTGAGGTCTCCCAGATGCTATAACATGAAACCAAGTGTTACAGCAGTTGTCTCTGGGCGGGTAGGATTGTTGAGTCTCTCCTCTTTTCCTTCTAGTTAACTATTAGTTTCTGACAATTATGCAAATAATACTCTTGGCTTTTATAAAACAAAAATTAAATTAAGAGATGTGCTCCTTTTGTGTTAGTGTGTCTACATAATGAATGTCTAGCATATTCATTAATTTGTTGAGGTCCTCAGGGACCTACTAGCAACAGAAATAAAAGAGCTATGTAAATAAACATCATGCATGCTTAAAGGTGACACAGGTTATGCACCCATATAAAATCAGAGCATCTTGTGATCCTATCTTGGCTCAAACCTTCAAGGAACATCAGGCAACAATGACCCTGTTAAAGCATTCTTCTCATTTTCAGAAAACGAAGGAAACCCTTTCCTACAGACAGAAACCACTTGGGCTTCCTGTGCAAATCATCATCATCTTCTCTGCACCTGTTAGGCAGGGCTGCCCTACCCTCTGGTAGAGGATCGCACAGGCTCCTGTCAGCCTCGAGGGAAGAGGGGGAGCCCAAGCACTGCAACTGTGAAGGGGTAAATCATTAACACACCACACACATCCCAGCATTCCCCTAGCAAGCATGCTGGCCTTCTACAGCGAGCCAGCTCTGGTGGCCCATCAGGCCTTGAGGCATCAATGATTAACTGGGGACACTGCAAGCTTTCCAGACCTGGGGGGTACCATCTTTCTATCACTTTCTCTTTCCCCCCTCACTCTGTACACATATGTCATGTTTATCTCTGAAATGCCCTGTTAAAATAAATGTCCAGGGATTTTTACATATGCTGAAACTGGCATCACTTAAGAAAACTGCAGTTTGCAAATGGTACTTTTATAGCACTTTGGATCTGAAGCCAAGGCAGGAATTTCTGTGACCTTGTTCAGTTCCAAGGTCCACATGATTTGCAACATTGACACTTCTCCTTCCAATATGGGAAAAATGTGTTCAGCCACTACCTTACATAACGTAAGTAAAACCCATTTTTACTGTGTGCCCACAACTCTGGACTCCTGCATGGGGAAGGAAGAGAAACCTGAGTTCACAGCCTTGGGACACATGACAACATCCCTGGCCTCCCTGGCTGCCTAATCTGCTATCATAACTGGCCTTCAGTCAGGAAGCCCCAGCTGGGATCTTCAATAGCTCTGTCAAAATCCACTGATTACTTTTCAGAAGGTTTCCACATACAGAATCTTACCTGATTCTTGCCAAGTATGAGGGAGGTGTCTTTGGCTGGGCTACCCATAAGCAGAAGCTGAGATATGGCTTTGGAGAACATATGTGTGAGCCCTTGTCTACACCAGGCCTGGACAGGATGAAGGGGGTCTCAGTGGGGCCCCAACAATGTCCATAACAGCATGCAGAGCTAGTCATATTAAAGCTCACAGAGCCGAGAAAAGAGGCCCAAAGAAATGGATGGTTTGCCAGTGCTGTCACATGGCAGATTAAATAGCAGATCTGAGACCACAATTTCGGTCTCCAAGTTGAGTGGTTTTCTCCACGCCTGGTGGTAAATTCATGTTTTTGATGAGACAAGTTCTTTAGAACCCAAAGTACTGATAAATATCTATCTCTAATAGACCATAAATCTCCTATAGGATAAAGTAATATCTGTCTCCCTCTTTTCAAAATGTCAGATGGTTCACGAAAGATATAGTCACACCATAAAGCAAGTCTTCGGTTGTTTCCCTTGGATTCACTCCAGGACAGGATTGGTGTATGGCCAAGACACCCCAGGGAGTCAGTGTGGCAGAGAGGACAGCATGTGACCTAATGCCTGAGCACCTGGGCTGGCCTCGCTTCCCACCCTCTCTGGGTTGGAATTCCTTCCTTTTATTAAAGAGGGATTGGTTTTTGATAGCTCAGGTTCCTTCCATCTCCGAAGTATTTGGTTTTACATGGTGACCCACTTAGCATCTCAGGAGAGATTCTTTCCTTTCCCTCCATTCTCCTCTGGGTCCAGCCCGCAGCCTCAGCACTCTCTAATCCTGCATATGGGAAAACCAAGTGACCACAAGAAGAAACGCTCATGAACATGAATAGGCAGCTCTGAGTTTTCACCATAATGAGTTTTTGGAAATGTCCCCAAAGAGGGTCATTCTAAGGAGAGAATCATATTTTTGCCACAGCAACCACATTTAATTGGAGGTTGTGTTCTTGAACAAAAGCCTGGTTTCAAATAAATCAAGGGCATAACCAACAACTTGTCATAAAAAATAAAGATATAGTGCTATAACCCCTATAATAATTTTAAACAGTAAAACTGTGCTCCAGCTCCATATAATGTCCTCAAAAACCTTTATGGCCTCAAAAGGCCTTTAAAAGGAACGAGGGCTCATTCCATGCTTGCCGATGGTGGTACAGGAAGCTGGCTATGGACAGGCAGCTGCTCAGCCCCTGCAGAGAGGGCCCCCCCCCCCGTCACTGTGAGGCACTGCTCAGCAGCAGCAGGCCCCCCTCCCCCTTGCCCCCAACCCCCTACACCCCCACCCTCCGTGTCACAGTGAGGCACTGCTCGGCCCCGGCAGAGAGGCTCTCCGTGTCCCACGAGGCACTGCTCAGAATCTGGCGCTCTCCGGAGATTTGCTTAATGACTCAAAGTGAAACATTCTGAAGGGCACTGAGCCTTTTGTTTTTTCTCCAACATGTATCAAGAATTTTCAACCCATTCCTAGCTACCTAGGACGGGGTCTCTGTCCCCACTGCCCTCCAGGATCCAGAGCAACACATCTGGCCTCTCCATGCCCAGTGGGTGACTGTGCTGTGTGTCTTTTGTTCCTGGCAGGGCCTGACCCGGCGCACACTGCAAGCCCACACAGCTGCGCAGCACAGCTGGGGTGGCCCAACTGTCAGCCAGGTCTGGGGAGGAAGAGTCTCCACCCACATCAGGGAGCATAGACCAAAAAGCAGAGAAAGTGGGACTGGTGGACTCAGGCAGGGAGCAGAAGGGAACGACAGACAAGGGGCTGCCACCAAGTACTTATTTCACTGTTAAGTAACTGAATCAGTGCTGGGAAGGGCTGGGCCTACAGAAAAGAACATTAAG